TGTGCCACTGCATGGAGAGGCAAACTTCATCCCAACACATTCTCTTCCTTAGCTTTCTGTGGTCTTCAAAGCATCATTACCCAAAATCAGTCTATAAGTAATGGGAAATTAGACCATCAAAGATTGGGTCCATTGTTCCTCCAATTCTACCTTGGAGAAGGATATGAGTGGCAGGTGTTGGGATTTTGTCAGAGATTCTCATACTGTGGTCTGGGAACCACTGGTGGTCTACAAGAGTCTTCTGGGTGATCCATAGCCTGGTCTTTCATACTATTAATGCTTATGAAAGGCTCATATCCATCCTCTTGTTTCTGGTACAGATTGATAATGGATATTTAACAAAAACCAGATGAGCCTCACTGGGGGGCAGCTCCAAGCAGCACTCTTCATTCTGTTCATTCTAGGGAGTTTTTTTGGTAGTGGTAAGTGGGAACAGGTGGGGTAGGTGATCCATGCTGACTTTGCCCTACTGAAGTGGTCTGGACCACATCAGCAAGGCTGTACTGTCTGTACCACATCTGGGGAATTGCATTCATATCTTGGCACCACATTTCAGGAAGGTCATTGACAAACTGGAGATTGTCCTTAGAGGGATAGCTTGAACTTAAAACCATGTCATATGAGAAATAGCCAAAAATATTAGAGACACAGAAACGGAATGAAAGGAGATTTCATAAGGGAATGACCTGTGTCTTCAAATATTTGAAAGCCTTTTACATGAAGAGAGATTGGATTTATTTTGTGGGCTGCCAGAGGGGAAGACCAATAGATGGAAATTATGGGAAAGTAGTTTGATGCAATGTAAACAAGAACCTCCTAACAATTAGAGCTGCCTGAAAATGTAATGATCTGGCTGGTGAAATGATAAGTTCTCCCATCATCAGAGGTGTTTAAGCAGACAATAGATGACAATTTGTTGTGTAAGTTATGGAGGTGCTTTATGCTATGAGTGAAAATTGAACTAAATGACCTCTAAGGCTCCTTTCAACTTTATAATGCTATGAAAATCTTAAAAACTTCTGGTCCATATAAATCTCTAATACAGTTTCATGGCCAAGTAGATAATACATTTTTGTTGTTGTTCAAAGTTATTTCAGTTGTGTCCAACTTTCATGACCCCATTTGAGGTTTTCATGGCAAAGATACTGGTGTGGTTTGCCATTTCCTTCTCCTGCTCATTTTATAGATGAAGTAGTAAGGCAAACAGGGTTAGGTGACTTGCCCAGGGTTACACAACTAGCTAAGTGTATGAGGCCAGATTTGAGCTCAGGAAGAGTCTTCCTGACTCCAAGCCCAGGACTCTATCCACTGCACCACCTAGCTGCCCCCATGATATGTTTGCACAGTGATAATGAAATACAAGGAGAGGTAACTGCATAATGGATGAAGAACCAACCTTGGCCTCAGAAAGATCTGGCTTTGATTTCTTCTTCTAACACAGTGGCTACATAACCTGGGTGAGCTATCTAACCTCTCAGTGCCCGGGAACCTCTCCAAAAGGAATTTTTAAAGAACTTGCTGATACTGTCACAAGGAATTTCTTCACCAGCCATTCCCTACACCATTGAAATTACAGATCTGGACCCAAAAGGAAATACAACAGCCTGAATTTCAAGGGTATTAAAGCTTGTGGTCTAACTGAAGAGATATGGACAGATTCTACATCAAGAACATTCAATTTGGGGTAACCAGATGGCACAGTGGACAGAGCTCTGGCCTTGGAGTTAAGAGGACCTAAGTTCAAATCCGGCCTCAGACACTTGACACTTACTAGCTGTGTGACTCTAGGCAAGTCCCTTAACCCTGAATTGCCTCACCAAAAAGCAAAAAAAAAAAAAAAAAAAAGAGAACATCCAATTCTCATTAGCCAAGATAGGGAGAGGATCTGGTTCTCACTCCTGCAATTCAAGCAACGGTCCCCAAGTCATGTCATCAAATTGGGATTTCTTCATTTAGACTAACAGTCAATCAGTATCTAAGCAATTTCCCCATTCCTTCCATGCACGGGAACTTGTCTTAAAAAATTAGGCATTTATATTGGGGATCTCCATATTTTTCACAGCTGAGGCATCTTTAATTCAGCTTGCCTTGAGTTGGGTCACATCACAGGAGCCACCAAGTATCTTTGTTGTTCTCCTGTGCCATAAGATTCACTTTAGGTTCTCGAAGGATCACAGGTCTATAGGTTTCCTAGTCAATGTTGCTGCCTCCAGGAGGAACTCTGCTCTATTCCATGAACTGTGCCCTGAGCTTTGCCCTATATTTGCTCACAAATTTAATTTCTTTACCAACCTGAGTCTTATCTACTCAAGACCTGATTTGGCCTGAAAGTGTGGTGGTCCCTATTTCTTAGCAATTCACATTTTGCAAAATGTTTTCCATGTTAACATATGTAAATAAATACCATCTCATGATCCTCACAACAACCCTTCAAGGTAGGTGCTATTATTATCCCTATTTCACAGATGAGAACACTCAGTCAAACAGAGGTTAAGTGACTTGCCCAGAGTCATACAGCTAGTATAAATGGCTACAATAGGATTGAACTTAGGCCTTTCTGACTCCAAGTCTTGCATTCTATGCATTATGCCACCTCACTGCATTACCTATTCCATCTTCTATTCTCTTCACTACTTTACTACCCAAAGGAATCTTCTTTTCACAATGTCCCCCTGCAGCTAGATGGCAAATGGGTAGAGCACTCAATGTGGAGTCAGGAAGACCTGAGTTCAAATCCAGCCTGAGACACTTACTGGCTTTGTGACCCTGGACAAGTCAGTTAACCTCTATTTGCCTCAATTTCCTCAACTGTAAAATGAGTGTAACAGTAGCACCTACTTCCCAGGGTTGTTGTAAAATACTTAACGTAGTGCCTTGCACATAGTAGAGGATATATAAATGCGAATTATTATTATTATTATCACTTGAGGGTAAAGCCTAGTATGTACCAGAGCACTGGAAATCCCCTGAAATGAAATGATTTTTAAAAAGACCTACTAACAAGAGCATATAATATGCAAAAGTGTTATTTAATACGTTAGTGTAAAACATAATTTACACTTAAGCGAAGTGTATTTATGATGCTCTTCTCTTTTCTCCGATGGTGAATGGGACTCTTTTTGTATACTTAATCAGACACATTTTAAATCACACCATGTAATAGACTTTGTGGCAATATTCAATGGCCTAAGTATATAAAATATGATGGAGTTAAGAAGTTGCAGCTGAACCAACAATATATCCTCCTGCAAGGGAGACATTGAATAAATCTTGGATGTTTTTTGATAGCCAATTAAATTTCCTTAAGAGCTAGGCTGCATTTGCCTACATTCTTTAGCCATAATTCCTCGAACAAGCTTTCAAATCATAAATATGGTCCTAAAATGCCAAGGAATTAGCAAGTAAATGCATCTTTCTCAAGAAATATCTGGTGAACTAGACCTTTCTCTAAAAGGAAGTAAAAGATTAAATAAAGAGCAAGACTATATGGAATCATTTTTTTTGCATTTTTCATCCATTTAGGTGAAATCAAAGCTTGGGAATCCTAGTGTTGGAATTGTTTTTCATCCTGGGTCAAATTTGGCCCCTCCTCTGATAGCAATCCCACGTTTCCTGGTTGAAAAGTAAAATCCAGCTCCCCCTGCAAAACCACCGAATATATCCTTTTGCTGAAGGTGGAATTCTAAACCATTCTAAAAGGGAAATTAGTTTGCTACCAAAGTGGTCTGGCAGAGGGAACTGGAGATTTTGTTGTCACAGACCCTGGTTGTTTATGCTTGCTTTCTTTAAGTAGGAGTCTTCCCCACCCTTTTTTGTTTTTGTATGTTTGTTTTTTAGCAAACCAGTCAATACTAAAGTTCCAATAGAGTACAGTCCATATGTAGAGTCAAGAATGTCAATGATTAGGAAGGGAAGGAAAAGACAGCTAACAGGTAACTCAAATAAATTCAATAAAGTTTACCCAAAACACGTCTTAAACAGTTAAACACACATGAATGCAAAATAACCAACTAGGGGAATCAATTCAGCCAAAATAAAAGTCATTTCAGAAAAATAATCAATTAAAACATTGTCCGGTATTATTTAGGCAGATTTTTTTTCTGAAAAAGATCTGGGAGGGAGGGGTTGGACAGACTACAAGCCTACTAAGAGCAACACTATAATATGGCAGTCAAAAAAGAGGTGACACTATCTTCAGCTGCCTTGAGAGAAGATATTCCAATAGTGCCAGAAGTAAGGAAGCCATAGTCCCCATGTAGTTGGCCCTAGTCTGGCCACATTTGGGGAATTGCGTTCAGTTCTGGGTTCCGAAGTTTAGGAAGGACATTGATAAATTGGAAGGTGTCCAGAGGAGAGGAACTGAGATGATGAAAGGCCTTGTATGGAGTTATCGAAGGAATTGTTCTAAGTTTAATGTGTAGAAGACAAGAGTTAGCACAGACATGATAATTATCTTCAAGTATCTGAAGGGTTAGCTTGTGGAAAAAAGGATTATATTGCTGGGTGTCAAAAGGAAGAACTAAGAGTAATGAGTAGAAGTTGCAAAGAGATATATCTAAATATGCGACATCTTGAGGTCAGTAGGGAAAAAAATTCTTTTTTTCTTTTTTTAGTTTAATATTTTATTTTTCCCAATTACATGTAAAAGCAACTTTAACATTCTTTTTTTCAAATCTTGAGTTCCAAATTTTCTCCCTCCCTCCCCTCCCCCTCTCATTGAGAAGGCAAGCAATTTGACATAAGTTATACATGTGTAATCATGCAAAACACATTTCCGTGTAAGTCATAGTGTGAAAGAAAACACAAACAGAAAAAGAAAAAAAGAAAGTAAAGAAAAAAATACCTCCAATCTTCATTCAGGCCCCACCAGTTTTTTCTCTGGAGATAAACAGCACCTTTCATCGTAAGTCCTTCAGAATTCTCTTGCATCATTGTATTGCTGAGAATAGCTAAGTTGTTTACAGTAGATCATCATACAATATTGCTGTTACTGTGTGCAATGTTCACCTGGTTCTGCTTATTCCGCTTTGCATCAGCTCATGTAAGTCCTGGTTTTTCTAAGCACATCCTGCTGTCATTTCTTATAGCACAATAGTATTCAATCACAATCATATACAGTAATTTGTTCAGCCATTCCCCAATTGATGGACATGGAGAGGGTGGGCCAGGAATTCTTAACAATTAAATCTATCCAAAATTTACCTCAAGAAGTAGTGAGTTTTCCTTCATTGGAGGTCTCCAAGCAGATTCTGAATGATACTTTGCATTTCATAGCAGGGATTCTTTTTTACGTATAGCTTAAACAAGATGGCTGCTGTGGTCCCTTGCAACTCTCAAATTCTGTGATTCCGTGGAATGTAAACCCCACCTAAACCAACCCAGGTTATGGGAAAAGCACTCAACTGAGAGTCAAAAGACACTAGTTTCAAGTCCTGGTTTCAATACTTTCACAGTATATGGTTATAGGCTGGTCAATTCATCTCTTTGAGCTTCCATTTCCTCAACTGCAAAATAGAAACAAGAATTCTTGTACAATCTCATAGAATTATTGTGAGGAAAGCACTTCACAAAACCTAAATGCTGTATAAATGTAATTATCTCCCTATAAAGTTTTGAAAGTAATTGGATAGAATAGGCACAAAAAATTAGAATAACTTATCCTAATTTCTTTTTGGAAGTTCAAAAAAGTTCAAATAACATGTTATTTACCCAAAAGTGAATCATGCCTCTGCTTGGATTTAACAAACTCAGTGAGTGATGGTCATATCAATAACATTCGAAGTAGCAAATATAATGTAAAGTACAATGGATTTGGAATACCAGACACTGAGGTGGGGATACAAATAAATATATATATAATACATATACATATATATATATATACATATATATATACATATATGTCTTACTTTGCATTTAATATAAGAAAAATGACAATTACACTGTACAATAGAATGTTAGAGAAAGGAAAGAACCTTATCAATCACCTAATTCAGAAGTTCTCTATCTTTTGAGAACAGAACCCTTTTTTTTTAGCACCAAAAGACTTCATAGAACCTCTGTATGACAGCACTGATACTATTAATATCTGTTGACTAATAAAATATATGATGACAAAAAATAAGTCACAATTTAGGTGGATTGGTATTCTACTCATCACAATAACCTGTACATACACTTGAAAAATAATAATACATATATAGACATCACACTTCAATAAATCTGTGAACTCATAGATGGGGGTACTCTTTCTAATCAGGCGGATGGCAACCCATCCATGCCTGTTCAGTCAGTGTGACTCTGCTCCACATCCTCCTATCAATTTGCCATTTGAATACCATTGGAATAACATGCTGGAAGCTTTTCTGAAGATCTCTTCATGGTGCATAGATGACAATGGAATGTAGGCTCTGTCCAACAGTTCTCCTCTCACTGTGTGTGAGATACATAATTTATTCGGTCTACAAAAGATCTGTTTTCTTATTTATGAATTTATATGCCTTATACATGATGTACTCCATAATCTCATGGGTTCCATGGATCGTAGGTCTGGAACCACTGATAAAGATCAATCTTTTATTTAATAGACTTTTAAAATAAGACTTGAAAACACTAAATGACTTACCCCAGGCTACAATAGTGGTTAGTATCATAAATAGAATCAAAATCTAGATCATCTACATGTATTTTGATGCTCCCTTTTTTAGACTCAAGGACAGAGACATAATGATATGCCAACCTGGGCAAATTAGTATAGCATCCCTAGTAAGCCTAAGTACTGCATGGACATGGAGTTGATGGAGAATTTATAGCAGTGAAGATACCCTGAGAATACAAATTTGCCATCTTTACATCAACCCCCTCAGATCATTGCTTCATATGGAACTGCTGAAGATTAGAGCAAAATTGGAGTCTTCAAATAAGCAAATATTACTCCATTCAATTTTACATATAGTAATTGGGCATCTACTATGAGCCAGACATTGCGCTAGATGGTAGGGCTACAAAGGCAAAAACAAAGGACTCCCTGCCCTCTATGAGTTTACAAGCCACTTCAGAGAATGTGAACTCAGATAAGTCAATATAAAATACATACAAAGAAAAAACACTGTAATGGAGGAAAGGAGATTGCTCACAACTGGATGGGGGAAGAAAGAAAAAAGAAGGAAAGAAGGATGAAAGGAAGAAGGTCAATGAAACATTTGTGCATAGAGAGGAGCACAAGGAAGAACTAAGGGAATCACAGACAGGGTAGTTAGCTTTGATGGTTATGTTTAAATTTGTTATATATTGTCATAATTCTAACATAATATTTTAAAAGAAATACATCTATGTAAATAAAATAATGACAAATAGTTGAACAGGCAATGAATGGTTTTATGGTTTTACTTATGGGTCTCCTAGAGGAGATGAGTTTGAAGTTACTTTTATTTCCTTCATTGTACTATTGATAAAATATCAAGTGAGAAATAGTATGGATCAGTGTCTAAAGACCTGGGTTCAAGTCATACCTTTGACACTTGCTACCAATGTAACTAAAGGAAAGTCATTTAATCTTTCAATACTCCCAAGCAAATCAATAGGATGAAAATTGAATATGAGTTGGTAGCCTACATAAATGGAAGCAGTTTCAACACCAGGTGTTCACCAAACCAACGATATATTGATAAAAAAAAAAAAAAGAAATAAAAAGAAGGAAGAAAGAATAGAAAAAAGATAAGAAAAAAGGAGAAGGATGAGAAAGAAAAAGAAGAAAAGAGGAAGAGGAGAAGAAAGAAGGAGGAAGAGAAGGAGAAGAAAGAAGGGAAGGAGAAAAAGAGGAAGAGGAAAGAGGAGGATTCAAGGCTTTCTTGTATTTATTGACAAAGGTGGCTTATGTTAGTTAATAGTGCTTATAGTGTTTCTGCAGTGGAGGAAAGAGGCAGGGTTTTCGTCAATAGAAAGAATAGGGAGATAAATAACTTGGCTAAGCATGCATTATCTAATCACAAAATGGACCCAATGTCCTAATACCCAGGAACAATCCTCTTATTCTGTTTCCTTTTTAGAGCTGATACGTCTTACTGTGACACCCACCTCCTCCTGCCCTGAAAGTTCTATGTAGTATACTTATTTTTTTTACATGAAAGTGTATTAACATCTCATATGACTTTTAGGATACTTGTGATACTCCCTTGGGATAAATTGATGACACCCACACTAGACTAGCTCAAAACCAAACTAAGGAAATCATTGCTCTAGTTACCACTGTCTTTGAGTATTCTTTCAGGCCTCCTTTCACCCCTGTCCTCCCTCTCTTCCTACTTTGCCATAGGGCAGGGACTGTCTTCTGTCTCCTTTCATTTCCCCGGCACTAAGCACAGTGCCTGGCACATAGTCAGTGCTTCATACATGTTGATTGGTTGACTGACCAGAAGTAGCTATTTTGATAGTCAGGACAAGCAATATTAAGCATACCTTCAGATAACTGGAGGTGTAGAACAAGACACCAGAACACTACCGTGAGATGCGGAGAGATCCTGGCTGAGGGGGAGCTACTCTGGAAGGAGCTCATCTGTTGTGTGGCTATTGAAGCAAAGAAGCACACCATCTGTTAATTTTCAGTTTTTACTGGTTATTGCTGAAGGAACAAAAATGCTGTTTAAATGTAAACATACATTTTTAAATTGTGCAATCTTTAAAAATCACAATTTTACATGTGTGCCCTCTATATAGCAGTGTCCTTGTTCAAAGGTACAGTTGCCCTACCCTAATTGTAACTTCTCTGCAATTCCCCAAAAGACTCAGTTCATATGATCCATGTTTCTGCTTCTGCACAGACACATGTAGATATAGTAATTTTGAAAGGGAATGTGATAGAACAGAAAAAATATAGGTCTTGGCATTTGGAGACCTGGATTTTAGTTTTGACTCTTACAGGGACTGTGTCATCTGCGTAAATCAATTCCCCTTTTTGAGTTCCAGTGTCCTCATCTGTAAAATAGGGGCAACAATATCTGTTAATACCCACTTCACAGGACTGTTACGCAGAGTTTTGTAAACCTCAAAGTGTTATATAAATATAAGCAATTAACATTTGCTCCATTTCCTCCAGCTGGTTTTTTGCTCCTACTTTCCCCTGGGCCCCATTGTCCTGTGGTTGTATCCACCATCATCAAGTTGTCAACTTTATCATAGTCTTTTTCATTTGCTTTCGTTCCCCTTTCAGGCACAAGGCTGCAGGTCTCCCCAAGATCTCAATAGGAAAAACAGAACAGATATCCCTATAGGACACTGTCATCACCTCATAAGGTCTACAGTCTGGAGTATTAAGGATTTCCGATTTCTCAGTTCCCTCTCAGCCTGAGTGGATTACAAATAAATCACTTAAAATCAAAAGGCCAGGAGCGGGGCCAAGCTATGACCTTGCTGGAGAAATAGCACTAAAGGTTGTGAATGAATTTTCAGAGCTGTCTTTAAGCCTCAGGGCCATAAGACTGCCCTTGGAATCAAAGCCATAGAGTACTTGTGGTGAGTATCCCAGACTTTGGGCAAACTTAAAAGGAAGAGTGTTTGGAATATTTACTGAGAGTACAGGGTATGTAATCAATATTTTCCATTTCATCTTCTATAAATCTTTCTATCACTTGTTTAGTCATTAATTTATCCCCTATATAAAGATCTGAAATTAATTTCCTCCTTCATCTTCTAATTTGTTTATGGAAGCTTAAGTCTTCAAGAATGCATGTTATCCTTCTGCTGAGTTGAAAAGCTATTCAAGTCTCAGTAATCAGTTAACTAACATTTATTGAGAGCCCACTATATTCCAGGCACTGTGCTAAGTTCTGCGGATACAAAGAAAGGCACACAAAAAAGTGGTTGTTGCTGTCCTGAAGGTCACAGTCTTTTGAGGAAGACTACGTGGAAACAATCATGTACAAAGAGTTATATATGGGAAAAATTAGAGATAATCACAGAGGGAAGGCACTAGAATTAATGGGGACTGGGAAAGGCTTCTTGTAGAAAGTGGACTTTTAGCAGAGTTTTGAAGGAATCCAGGAAAGCCAGGAGGCAGGGATAAGGAGAGAGAAAAATCAAGGCAAGGGAACAGCCAGTGAAAATGCCCAGAGTCAGGAGATGGCGTGTCTTGTTTGAAGAAAAGCAGTCAGGCCGGTGTCACTGGATCAAAGAGTATGTCCGAGGGGAAGGGGGCAAGAGACAAGTATAAAGGGTAAGAAGACTGAAAAGGTGGGGATAGGTTCTGAATGGCTTTGAACACCAGACAGGCGAGTTTCTATCTGATCCTGCAGGTGATAGGGGTGCTAGAGTTTATTGAATGGGGATGGCGGTGGAGGGAGGCAGCGTTATTAGTCCTGGGCTTTCATAAGATAAATTTGACAGCTGAATGGAAGATGGAGTGGGGAAAGTGGGGAGAGATTTGAAGCAGGCAGATTGATAGTTCAGGTATGAGGTGATGAGGGTCCATTACCAGGGAGGTGATGGCATCAGAGCCAGGAAGGAAGCATATGTGAAAGATGAAGCGAAGATAGAATTGAGTAAGATTTCTGATGAAGAGATCAATGAAAAGCAGTGATTCCTGGGCACTCGTAACTCAAAACTAAACTTCAGCTGGCTAGCTTTGGATAAAAGTCCTGAATCTGCCACTTAAAAGCTATGTGATCTGGGGAAGTCACTTAATCTCTCTGAGCCTCTTAGATAAAATGGAAATAATGATACTTGTACTACCTCCCTCAGAGGTCTGCTATTAGGAAAAGTATTTTGTAAATAATAAGACTTCATAATGTTAAATTTTGTCATTACTATTCTGGGAGTTGGGAGAAGAATGGCACAAGTGTTTGGTTACCAATCCCTCTGAATGACTGGCAATATGGGAAAGTAGTGGGCACTCCACAGATAATTGAAGAAACCAGGTGAAAGACACTAGGGAGAAAACATAGTAACAGCATACAGAGCTGTAACTAGACTGGGGCAAATAGAGGGCATAAAATTTAGAAGGTTTTGAATTTAAAAGGTTACAGTCTTAGAACAACTAGAAACAACAGAACTAATCGTGTAGTTATCAAGAATAATTAAAATAGTGATGTCTCAATGCTACACACACACACACACACACACACACACACACACACACACACACACAAACACACGTGTTGCCCTGCCAACGAGACCTTCACTGGAGAGGCCCCATACTAGTGTCTCAAGGTCTTTCTCTCTAACTGTCCTCCCAGCTGAAGGCAATCCTCATGCTGCTCAACCCAAGCACCATTTTTGATGCTTGCCCTGGGTGTAAAAATTCCTAGTTAAATATCCACCTTCACAGATTGCATAGAGGAAGGCATGAGGGGAAGCACAGTGTACACTGCAGGGGAGGGTCCATCTTCACTAATAATTTTCATGAATAAATCTATCTCCACTTCCCCATGGCCATCATTACCAATGGAAGCCATTACACAAATAAATGAGCCAGAGTGATGTGGAATGTCATTCCTCACATCTCAGAAACTCCTTTTCAAATGTGCGCACGCACACACACACACACACACACGCGCGCGCACACCTTACTGCTCACTTCATTCTTCAATGAACCATTTATTTAGGGAATATCACCAAAGATCCAAAGGGGAAGGGGCTGTTCTCTTGAAATTGAAAAATAATATTGGCTAATTTATAACTAATAATTAAAAAGCCCTGTCACCAAGCCAAGTTCCTCCAGCATGTGTTTAACATTACTCCCAAAAGGTCATTTCCAACTTCTCCAGGAAGGGAGTTGCAGAGTATACAGGCTAAGTAAATGCAGGAATCTTAAGCTGGGGGGCTTGGGAGCAGACTTTTGCAGTCTTCAGGGATGCACAAACAATTCTGTCTCCACTGAGTGGAGACAATGCCCTGTATTCACGGCACTCTTAGGCACTCCTGTATTGTGCTAGGGAGAGGAAAAAAAATTGACTTGAAATGAGGATAAATTGGTATTCGCTAAGTGCCACTTCTGAATTTACTGCAGGCTATGCCTTTGGAGGGAATTGCCAAGGTGCTCATAAAAGAAGAAATGATGAATATTCAGGATGTCTTTTGAATCCATTAGGCAATCTGGGATGAGGTCTCCATATGGAAGTCTCCAGTTCTTTCCCCAGGCTGGTAAGGAGAATGCCAAGATGGCCATCAGCAGGAAAGAACGGGCTCTGGGCTTGCCAATGAGAAGAACGTCTCAACTCAAAAGGTCAAGTACCAGGAAATGAACTTGGTCCAGGACTTAGGGCAGAGGAAGTCTGGTGTTATTTTTGGATTCTCAGATGGCCTGAGTGGAGGGATGAGGGCTATCCTTCCATATAACTAGGGATACCAATGGAAATGCAGTAGAACCTCATGATAACACAATTATTTATTACAGTGGTTTCGATATATTATATGTCTTATCCTGTTAACAGCCTGAATATAAGGGTTGGCCATTTGACAGAGACTAGCCCTTTTCTCAGAACTAAAGTTGGATCTAGAGGTAGAAGGAAATTCTTGGATCATCTAGTGCCGCTGCCTTACATAGTTAGCGTGCATATAGCATTTTAAGTTGGGATGTGCTGGTAAATGTTTAACAGCAAGCTCTGCAGGAGGAAAAGTCCATAAAGCATACATTTAAATTCAATCTACATCATCAACATGTTCTTCATCACTTTCTTAAGTCTAGACAATCAACACAACAATACATCAAGCCCTGATTTATAGCATTTGCTATAAATTTCTGTGGTATAAATACTGATGCAAAAAAACTTAACAATGATCTCTTTAGCACAACTCTGGCCTTAAGGTTTGCAAAGTCATTAACAAATATTTTCTTATTTGATCCTTACAAACATCCTGGGAGGTAGGTGCTATTTTTATTTCCATTTTACAGGTGGAAAAACTAAAGCAGGCAGCAGTTAAATTATTTACTCAGATTTACCCAGTTAGTGTCCTGAGTTAAGATTTGAACTCACAACTTCCTGACTCCAAGTCAGTATAGATGAGAAAACTGAAGTACAGAGTTGTCATACTTGCCCAAGGTCACGCAGAGATTAACAGAGACAGGATTTCAACACAATGTCCTCTAGACTACAAAGCTAGTGTTCTTTCACCTTCAGCATCTAGAAAATTTTGTACAGAGACATATCTAGGAGAACCTAGGTGGCATAGTGGATAGAGCACTAGGCCTGGAATCAGAAAGACTCAGCTTCCTGAGTTCAAATCTGTCCTCAGACACCCAGCTGTGAGACCCTATTTGCCTCAATTTCCTCATATGTGAAATGAACTGGAGGAAGAAATGGCAAACCACTCCAGTATCGTTGCCAAGAAAACCCCGAATGGGGTCACAAGGAGTCAGACGTGACTAAAAAGACTGAATGACAACATATCTAGGAAATTTTGCTCCCAGGGGTAGGAGTGGAATGTAGTGAGACACATGTAGGGAAAGAAAATGAGCCTGGGACATCTCAAGGTTTTTATGTTGCTTAAGAACTAACCTCTACGGAAGCAGCAAGATGGTGCAGTGGATAGAGCATGGGCCTTGAAGTCAGGAGGACTGCAGTACAAATCCTCAGACCAACACTTGACACTTACTAGCTGTGTGACCCTGGGCAAAACACTTAATCCCAATTGCCTAAAGGAAAAAAAAAAAAAAAAAAGAACTAACCTCTACTAAGGAGATGGGGGTGGGGGGAGAGAGGTAAGGGAGGATGTTGAGGGAGTGCCATTGGTTTGGAATTGTGCTGGTGGACAGAAAGCATCCTTCAGGACAAGGCCTGCCATCAACAACGGTAGAATCATGTGAGGAAGAGTTCACTGAAGGAGTGGCTAACAGAGAGGTAGAGGAGGTACGTCTAGAGACAGTACTGTCAGCACCTTCTAAATTTCAGTGCTCTAGTACAAAGCCCCAATCACTCTACCCTAGTTATGGTTCTAGCACACCCTCTCTCATTCTAATTTTATCTGATTTCACATCAAGAGGGAAGAAACAGTGGAACCCTGCTGTTAGAAGGAAATTTTAGAAACTATTCAGTACATCACTTTATGTCCAAGCAGTATTGAGCAGACATCATTTAAGACAGATGGCTGTGTTTTTTTGAAGATGTTTGAGGAAAGGAAATGAGACAGAAGGGAGTACAAGTGGCAAAGAAACCCTGCCACCCATAAGCCCAGATTCTCCCTCTTCCAAATGGTCAGCAAGTTTTATTTCAGGTCTGGTTTAACATTCTAATGTACAAATTGATGGTGGGAATCTATGTGTGCTTATCACCTCTACTTTCCAAGTCTTCCTTTGCATACAAACCTGCATGTCTTTTGGAATAAGAAGCCCTTGGGGAGAGCCTGTTGGGTGGATAATGCTGGCCCACCACAAGATGCCACAAACAAGAATCAATAATAGAACTTTCTGACTGCTGCCTTTGGCCCTGCCGTTGAAGTTCGACTTTTTCAATAAATCTGTTAATACCCCTCCCCAGCACCCCTCACCTCTTCTTGATCCTCCACCAAGAACCATTAAGTTAGGGGTAGAACTATTAGTCTTAAAGTACAAATAATGCCATCCATATGGAACACAAATATTGGTACTAAGTTAAAACAAATTCAGCATGGAATCTGGGAGTACACAGACTTTTTTGAGAGTGTCAAACCATGCCAATGGAATAAAATAATTATTATAGCTCCTTATAGTTAAGGAGCTATATGTTTAAAAGTATTTTCTCCTTCTGGATCTTACTCAATTTTCACAATAAGATTATGATGTACCCACCAACAAGGCATGCTAGGTGCAGGAAAAAATTTAAGAGAAATTGATCAGGTGACTCCCTAGTAAGATCACAGGATGTGGGTCCCATTTCAAAACATTGGAAGTATAATCGGACTTATTGGCACCTTACTGATAGACAAAAGACATACAAAACTCAAGATGTTTGATTGACTGGGACTCAGGAGATGGGTTTTTATTGGAAGGACCATCCTATCCATAGTATATAAGAACAAGCTATACAACCAGTTTGGCCCTTTTTCACTCTAACATTCTAAGGCTTTGAAAAGATAGAATAGCACACAGCACAGCCAACATGCATTCTGTAAGGAAGAGAAAGAGGAAAAATGTGCAAATATGCAATCCTCCCCTCATCCCCACCTCCCAGGAGCAATTGATAGTGACTTGCAGCAGAATGACCTAAGAGGAAACCTGAAGCCGTTGTGATTTCCTCTCCACTCAGGAGCAAGTAATGGAGACTTTATTAAGAATTTATTAATGCCTACTATGTGCCAAGTGAGAACATTGAGAAATTGGAATTGAGGAAATTGAGGGGATTAGGACAGCAAGTGGTTAATTGTGGGAACTGAGTGAACCACACGGACTCCATCTTGTGACTCGATTCTGGAGCTAGCTTAGTTTCTATTCAATTATAGGTCTAGTCCAATTTCTATCTTCTGAGAAAACTTTATTCAATTGTGGGAATTGGGAGAAAAACCTTATTGCATTGGTTGAACCTAGTCCTGTGTGGCTGGAAAATTAGACCACCTCTCCCTGCTGCTTAGAGACCCTTAACCAAGGACCTAGGTTATACTGAACAGAAACTCAATCAGAGCCAAAGACTGACGCAAGGAGTTTTCTCATAATTGTACATCTCAAGCAACCCATATGTCTTACCTGAAAACTGGCCCCATGCTGGTCAGTTATTGTTTCCATGTTCCTTTAATTGTTTACAAACACTTGCAAGGGAGTGGGACACCTTTTTTTCTGAATTCAGGGAATTGCACATGTTCACTGTCCCCCTCCCAACTTCAAAAGTCCCTAATCTTTCCTTCAATTAGAAATCAGATTACCTAATGTTATATTCTTTCCTTTTCATTAATTGGACTTATTTAATTGTTTTTAATATATAAAAGTCTGTCTCCCCTTGTATTCAAGGTCCAGACCTAAGCTGAGGAGGTCTGGTCCTGCTTTATTAGGCAATTGGCACACATTGCTTAATAAATTGATATTCTCTGAAGGTTGAACCTTTGTTTCCTCAGTCATTTCATCTTTCACCTGCCACACAAGCACAGTGCTAAGCATTTACAAAAATGTTCTCCCCTGATCCTCATATCAACCCTGGGAAGTAGTTACTAATAGAAATAAGAGGATTGCCTACCTGCAGAGTAATTTACTCATCCAGGACAGGTCTGGTGGAAAGGAGATTGCTTATTCAGTAGACTCCAAAGTGTGTTTACTCCTCCAGTAGGTGTCTAAACCACGAGGGGGTACCATGAGTCTTGGGTGGGGAAAAATTTTATATTACTCTGTAAAAAGAGAAAGACTAGCCAGAATGTTAGAGGACTGCCCAAATGGTAAAACCAGTTCAGTATCCTTAGAGGGGAGCAGAGGGGAGACTGGAGTGCTTTGTACATTTCTCTATCTGTTCATGAGCTCCTGTGAGTCCTTGGCATCTGGTGTACTTTCTGTGAGGTGAAAAAAAAAATCTATACCTTGAATATTTAAGGGAATTTTCCTGTAACAATTCCAAGTGGGGCAACAAGCCAAAGTAGAGAAACAGACTCGTTTTTGAATAAGGACCCCAGGAATGGAACCAGGTCCATGTGAGCCCACATTCCTTGCCAAGGATGAAGATGGCCTAGACCATAAGTTAAACAAAGAATTATAAGACAGTCCTTAACCTCAAAAAATTTATTATATAGTTGGAGATGTGAGGTATAAACACATGAAACATTTTATAGCCATATAATAACATACTCCAATACTCCAATGGATCTGTGAACTCATCAATGTAAGGATTCCCTTTAATGATGTAGGTTGCAACCCATCTATTCCTACACATCTTGTACAACTCTTGTCTATGTCCTCCCATAAGTTCATTCCAAGGGGTCCACCCAGCATGTTGAGTGCCATCCTCACTTTCTCTTGACTGTACAAGGATACCAGCAAAGCATATTGTTTTTCCATTGATTATGCCTTATTCTCACCATGTGACCAGCCTATCTTTTTCACTCACACAAATCTTTGGTTGACATCGTTTAACCCAATTCTCCTTTATAATTTTTTGCTTCTAATGTCATCACCTGTTCATGCCTTGTTCAAGTGCTTCCCTAGCATACTCTGGGTAATAACCATTTTCAATTCTTAAGGTTAATGTGCTATTACTCAAAGATATACAACACCATTAGAATATTTGTATTTAAAAATGAGGCCTTTGTTTCAGGGAGAAGCTTAGAGTCATTAAAAGAACTGCAATTTTCAGCTTATTCTTCTCTTCTTATTCAGTTCCAATTGCTGATCATTACCTATATCCAACATCATCCATTAAAGTGTTTTCCTAAAGCACATGTTTGACCATGTCATCCCCTTACTCAATAAGCTTCCTATTACCTCCAGGAGCAAATACAAAATTCTCTGTGTGGCATTCAAAGCCCTTAAGAACCTAGCCCCCTACTGCTTTTCCAGTCTTTTTATATCTTACCCTACAACAGTGACCCAACACTGGTCTCTGGCTGTTTTATAAACAAGATACCCCATCTCTCAGCTCTGGGCATTTTCTCTAGCGGTCTCCCATGCCTGGAATGCCCTCCCTCCTCTGCTCCTACTACTGACTTCCCTGGCTTTCTTTAAGCCCCAAATAAAATTCCACTTTCTATAGGAAGCCTACCCCAATTGCCTTTTAGTTACAGGGCCTTCTTTCTTAATTATTTCCTATTTATCCTCTATCATAGCTTGCTTTGTATATTTTTTGTTCGTATGTTTGTTACTCCCCATTAGATTATTATCTCCTTGAAGGTAGGGATTGGCTTTTGCCTCCTTTTATATCCCCAACACTTAGCACAATGCCTGGCACATAGTAAGTGCTTAATATTTATTGATTAATTAATCTTTCAAGATAGATATATAAATGGCCAAGTTCTATACATTGTTATTCAGTCATTTCAGTCATGTCCAATGCTTTATTACCCCATTTGAGGTTTTCTTAGAAAAGATAATGAAGTGTTTGCCATTTCCTTCTCCAGTTCATTTTACATATGAGGAACTGAGACAAATACAGTTAAGTGACTTGTCCAGGGTCATACAACTATTAAGTACCTGAGGCCAGATTTGAATTCAGGCAGATGAGTCTTCTCAACTCCAGGGAATTTACTTTTTTAGTCACTGTTCCCCCACTCTCTAATCTCCAATTCTTTCTACTTATATTTCTCTTTGACCTCTTCCCACAGACATGCTCAGGTCTTCCTTGACCTATTAAAAAACAATAAACCTCATTGGATCCTGCTTTTTTCTAATACTGTTTTATTATGTATTTCCTCCCTTTCACAGCCAAACTCTGATCCCCTAGAGAAATCCATCAAAACATGTTACTTTATCATTGTTGTTATTGTTTGTCCCTTGTTCTCAAAGTGGACCAATGACATCATGAGGATGATATCTTGACTTGTGAGTGAATTGGATTTAAGTGAGGCAGAGCTGCGCAAAGTCATCAGCCTTATTTTGTCCTCCAAAGTCAAAGTCCAGTGACGAGGCATAGAACTGGCCATGGCCCAGGATGCAGTGAGTGACCCTGACCTTTCATAATTAAGATCTTTCTGAGGACTCAGTTTCTCTGAGGCTATACCCATTCAATGATTAAGGGCTAGGTAAGACAAAAGATGAACCAATTTACTAACACAAAGATATCACTCTGGATGAAGGACCTCAGAAGTTTCTGGCCTGAACAGAGGCCAGAAGGGCTATTTATTGGCCATTCAATGAAAGTCAGAGTGATTTGGGTTTAAAGGCTAATAGCTCTATTTAAAACACACTGGGCTTTTTTAAAGCCTAATCTTCCAGACAAAAATCAAACTGTTCCAACTTTTTTTTTTTGGAAGAAGAAGAAGAAGAAGAAGAAGAAGAAGAAGAAGAAGAAGAAGAAGAAGAAGAAGAAGAAGAAGAAGAAGAAGAAGAAGAAGAAGAAGAAGAAAGAAGATAATAATGATAATGACTATGGTGACAACAGATGCCATTAGTACAAGTTTCGCATCCCTGACAATTCACTTCCTATTTCGCTTCCAAGTTTTCTAGGAATGAGAAATGAAGTTCAAAATTGGTGAAAAGATAGAAAAAGTCACTTTAAATGGGTATAAGTCAACAGGCCTACCTCTGAGGGTACTGAAACTTGCAGGCATGACTGGAGGCTCTCCATCAATAATAATGGGGACCCAAGGACAAGAGGAAAGGACCCAAGAGACTAGAGGTAAATAAAAGTTGTCTTGGGGCAGCAAGGTGGTGCAGTGGATACAGCACCAGCCTTGGAGTCAGGAGGACCTGAGTTCAAATCCAGCCTCAGACACATAACATTCACTAGCTGTGTGACTCTTGGCAAGTCACTTAACCCCAATTGCCTCACCAAAAAAATAAAATGAAAGTTGTTTTGATTTTCAAAGATATGAGGAAGAAAAGATAAGATTCTTGAAATGATAGTTCTCTAAGCTTGACTTTGGCCAATGGCAAAACATCTGAAGTTATGAGAGGGACAGTTTCAGAGAAAACTGAGAAGATATACAAGTGAGCAGAATCAAGAGAGTAATTTATATAATAACAACAACATTGTAAATACACACAACTTTGAAAGACTTGAGAATTCTGAGCAACGCAATAGCCAATCACAATTCTAGAGGAGTAATAAAAGTGAAGTATGTCATCCGTCTCCTGACAGAGAGGCGATGGTCTCAGGGTGCACAATGAGATATCCATCTTTGGACGTGGCTAGTGTGGGAATTTACTTTGTTTGACTGTGTATGTTTTTTTCAAATATGGGTTTTGTTTTTCTTTTTTTTAAAAAAAAGGGAAAGAAGAGAAGTATGGGTGATAGAAAATTGATAGTTATTAGTTGGAAGAAATAAATTAATTTTTTAAAGAAAAGTTTATTGGCTTTATCTCCTCTCCTCCAAATAATTTCTCACCCACTAGCTTTTGGCTTTACCACACATGTTAGACTTCTCACTTTAGGATTATTAGTATTCTCTCAACTGTCAGATCTGACGGCCTTATCTCAGTCCTCAACCTAATTGACTTCTCCACACTATTTAACACTGATGACAATCTTATCCTCCTAAATATTGTTTCTTCCATGAGTTTTTATGAAATTTCTTTTGAAATTTCCTCCAAACTTTTCTAACTTCTCCTTTTCATTTTCATTTGCTGGATCATCAAGGTATGGTAGACAGATTGTTGGATTCAGAGTTAAAGGACCAGAATTCAAATGCCAGCTGTCATTTACTGCCTGTGTAACAAGACTTTCTAGGCTTCAGATAGATTAGAATAGATTCCTTACTAGTAAAAAATGAGAGTTTGGATTACAGTAGATTACCTCTAAATTCACTTTCACCTCTAAATCAATGATCCAATGGTCCACCACTGCTTAGGTGCCCTCTACATCTATGGCCTGGATTTTCTTCCTCTCTTTAGTCCCACATTCTGAGGAAAGCCATTCTAAAAGGCTGAATGGGTATGATGCATATAATCTCACCGAGATTTCAGTGAGGGGGCAATAAGAGAGAAGAGAGAATGAAGCAGCATGATGGAAGTACGTAATTGGAGCCTAAGGGGTGGGTATAGGGTGAGGGCAAGGGACCAAGTCCTAGCTGTCAGAAAGACAAATCCAGGACTTTTGCTACTGTGTGTGTGAGAGCCAGCCAGACAAAGACATAGACAGAGACACACAGTCAGACAGAAAGACTGAGAGACTGAAAGAGTACATGAAGGTCACATGGAAAATGTAGTGAGAAGGAAGAAAATGAAGATAATAACAAAGAGAGAGAAAAAAGGCAGAGGAGAGAGAAATAGAGACGGAGACAGACAGAGATGGAGTCACAGAGAGAGAGAGATGGTTAAGCAACATATGGTAAGAGGGAAAACTGTTGACATAAATGCTGATTCCAGATACTGGAAGAGCTAACCAAGTGGGAAGTGAAAAACTAAAATTTGGTTTGTCTCTGTTTTATATATCTATGTGTGTGTACACATACATACACTCAATAGAACTACTTATGGGAACAGCTTACTCTTATGCCATAATTCAGCACAATAAAATTATTATAATACAATTACATATTTGTATTTATTCATGTATATATGTGTATAGAGAGATAGAAAGAAAGAAACCAAGAAAGAATTAGGAGCACTGAATCTGAAATTAGAAGACCTGGGTTCAAATCCTGTCTCTACTGTTTCCTCTTCAATAAAATGATGGGGTTGGATTAAGTAACTTCTCAGCTTCCTTCCAACCCTAAA